CAGGAAAGGTGTTCCCTGTTAACAGATCATCTGTGGTGGTTGACACTGCTGTCCGTGTTCCCAGCATCTCAATCCCAGCCCATTCAAGGATTGAGTGAGCCATAGTTTCGAGGTCTTTTCTGTCTCCTAGAGGTCCAGAACAAAACTGTTCCAGATAGAGCTCATTCCTCTCAATGCTTTTAGTTACCCCAAGGATGAAGAGCAGGTTGCATTCTTCTGGGTTGACTGTCTGGAATTAAAATAATTAAACAAATCACAGTATATCTGAAGTGCAAGTGTGCTTTTGAGTTGTTTTACTTAAAGCACACCACTTTCCAAAACTGGAAGCAGTCTGGTTAGCATAACTGCCCCACTTTGACTTCGCAGGCTAAATACCATTTACTCTTGGGCCAGCAGCATCTGGTTTTCATACCAATCTGACCTGGCTTGAACTGCCACATCTGGGTCTGTAATTAGAAGCTGCAAATACCCTGCCAGCAAGTCCTCTCTGGAATTTCTTGTTTTCGCTGTGTACTCTTTTGGCCAGTTGTCAGCACAACCTACTGTATAGACCTCTGGGAAACTCACGTGGCGCTGTCGCTGCAGTCTCTGAGCAGAGGCCTGTGTGCCACTGGTTTGGTGGCCTTCTGTGCTGCTCACAGGATTCAGCCAAAGTTATCAAGATGACCTGAGAAGCCCATACTTGAAACACATGTTTAGGGCAGATCTGTGGTGTCTCACAGCGTTCCGCCAGATCATCCCATAGGAATGTAGTATCTCTTAGCTGAGTGCTCTGCCTCCACAAGGAACAGCTTTTTGGAGTGTGTACGTGCACCAGATTGTTTTGATGTGAATCTTTATAGAAGCCCCTAGTTCAAAAAGGAAGGGTCTGGTATAGGTAAGTGATCTCATTGGATATCTTAATTTCCCTCTGTTCAGTGTGGGTGGGTTGTCCTGGCTGGTCCACTTAGTGTGGGGCATTTGGCCTTTAGTGGGATTGACAGTTCTTAAATCCTAAAATTGACACTAAAATACCATTTATAAGTGGTACAGGAAGGGGAAGTGAAGATCCTTTTGTGGGGCAAGAAACAATAGGTGTGTTGCACTGACTAGATACTACAGTACATCTGTAGCTGTGAGTGTGCTTTTAGCAGGAAAGCCAGAAGTAAGGCATACTGTCTTATGCAGGAAGAATAATCGTGCAAGCCCTTAAATTTCCGCTGTGTAAAGCCTTCCCGTCATCTTGGTGTCCGAGAGTGGTTACAGCTTGTGTATTTTTGCTTATTATTTATGCCTTGCATGTATCACTTCAGGCACAAGTTAACTTCTGTCTGGGGTCAGCTTTAGGCAAAGGGAAATGAGGTAGATATCTGGGATAGCAAAGTCCCACCTTGGAATAAGAGAGAGAGAAATAGACTGAGACCCTGCAAAGGTCAGAGCGGTAGCCATGGCTCCATGCCCAGCCTGGTGGCGGCAGGACAGCTCCCTGAGACGTGATCCTCCACTCGTAGCTCAGGGCGGTCAGCCTGTGTGATCTTGCCTGCCCCCATAAACAGATGGCTCTGGCCTTCTGCCAGTCTGTATGACTGCTCTGCACCTGCCCTCGTCACATGCCCTGTGGCTCTCTAGGGCTCGTGGCAGAAGTTGCCCATGTGCCAGGCATCTGTGGGGGAGACAGGGCTAAGCTACTTGGTCATACCACCACCTGAAGGCATCAGTACTAAGTTATCTTGGCAAGGCCAGGCACAAGCTGTTGGCTCTGGTGAGAGCAGGAACAGAGCAGGAGCATTCCGTCTCGCAGTACTGAGCCATGCAGAGAAGGTGGTGCCTTGGAGATGCAGCCCTGATCCTTTCAGACACTGGCATGTTACTAGCCCAAAAGGGCAAAATCACTTTGTCCTCACCTTCAGGGAGTCGATACCCATTTATACCAGCACTGCAGAGAAACCCTGCACAGCGCTCTATCCCTTCTATCCCTCACTAAGCAGGAGAGCAGACGTGGCACACCGGAAGGCAGCAGTGTTGCTTGGAAGAGGCAGGAGGAACAGGGGAAAAATCAGTTGCAGAGGGAGGCCCCCACACACTATGAGTGAAGAGAGACTGTGTTGGGATTAGAAGTTGGCAAATGCTGAAGGAGTTCAGAGTCTAAAGTCAGGAGAGTGCTGCAGTTTAGGTACTTAGGGCGTTAAGCATGACTTCATGTCAGTGTGTCTCATTACCGAACAGGAAAGTGTTAGAATTAAACCAGCCATGAATTCCATGTAGATATATATACACATACATACATGTATGTATGTAGATAAGTGTATAGATATTATATATATACACTTTTCTCTGGGAGACAAACCGTTGGCATCTTTTCTTCTGCAGCTGCTACTCTGAAACATGGACAGACCCTGTTTTTCTTCTCACACCTCTCACTTGGATCCATGCAAAATGCTGACTGCATTCTCCTGCCTTCTGTATCACTCCACTGCAGCCTTTTGTCCACTGAGATCCTGCAAAAGCGAGGATCTTACGCTTTATTGTTTCTTTCCATGTCTTTCCTCAGGAAAGAAGAGCCCAGACCTCAGGGAATATGATCCCCTCACACAGGCTGACAGTGATGAAAGTGAAGATGACCTCGTACTCAACATCCAGAAGAACGGGGGCGTCAAGAATGGGAAGAGCCCTCCTGAGGAGGTGCAAGACCCTGACTCTGATGTGGAGGTTGGAATGACAAAGCAGCACACGTCAGAGGGCGCGCCTGAGGGTTATCCTGCAGAGACGGCTGGGAGTTTGGAGCAGAAGGCCTCTCCCTCCCTCATGCCATACCTCCGCACAGCGATCTTTTTGCTCACTGTGGTGATCTCGATGATTCTTGTGTTGGTGTGTGCATTTCTAATTCCCTGTCCCCCTAGAGACTTGCATAACACCTGGAACCGCAACCTAGGTCAGGGAGCAGGTGAGAAAGCCCCAGGAACAGCATCTGGCATGGGGGAGGTGGCAGCTCCCAGGCTGGGCATCGGCGGGAGAGACCTATCTGGGAGAGCCAGCTCGGAGCAGAGGCCCTTCCTCACCACTGCAGATGCTCCGAGGTAATAGACAGGGGGCTGTGTCCTGCTCACTCTTCAACCTGAGACCTGTAAAATCTGGCATCAGTAGATAACAGTGCCACAAAATCTTGTTTCTGTCAACACCAACAAACGTTTTGACTCTTCTCCCATCCTGCCTTTTTGTCCGGATGGTGTGCTCTGTTCCAGATGGAGATGGTCCAGCCCACTTTAAAACATAGCACCTCCCTCTCTGTGTCCTGCATTTCACCAGCACCTCCACACTGAAGTGTGTGGCTGTGTTCGAGAGGGCTACAAGTCTTTGTGTCACTTAACTGGCTTAACTAACCTTATTTCTCGTCTTCTTGTGCTACTTGAATCCATAAATCAACATTTGGGATCTTTTGTCGTCCTATACAGGCCACTGGTAACATTTCTAGTGTCTCCTATTCTGACCTCTGCAGTAAATTAACAGTGGGTTGTGAAATAATTTCTGCCAGACCTAGATATGTCTCTCCCTCCTTGCTTTCTGACCCTGGCTTCCAAATCTAAGGCTTTCATAAGATATCACCTCAAAAAGTGAATTGGGATGCAGACATCTTGTTCTCTTGGCTCTTCCATTTTTCCTTTTCCTTTCTCTGACCCAGATGCTACATTTCTGCGTTTTTACACAGTGGTGGGAGCTGCCTGGCATTGGTGGTTCCCTAGTAGACTCTTGTGAGGCTTGGCTGTCCTTGAGTCTGTTTTCTGGGCCAGCCCTCCGCTCCCAGTGTGGAGAATGGGCTGGGCGGCCTTCTTATCAACAGTGCAGTGATTCTGCGTGCCTGTTGCAGGTGGTGTGTTATCCCCACTGGAGCTGTGTGATGTGAACGGCGATGGGCTCCCTGACATCCTCATTGTCTTCACTGCCTTGATGAATGCTAGCGTCATGGGTAAGCTCTGCAGCTCCTTTCCACTCCTCTTTCTGTACTTGTCAATATGGACCTTTGTATTTTTGTTTTATGCCGTGGAAGGGTTCCTGCCACTGGAAATCCACTGCACTGCTCTTTTAAGGAACTTTTCAGAGTTCCTTAAAACAGCTGGTGTGCCTGTGCTTTGTCATGCTACTCAATTTCCATTGCAAGCCTGTGCTCCCATACCTGTTGGGTCAGTGTCATCTATTTCCCCTTATCTCATCTTGGGGCAAGTCCCTCTCTTCATCCTGTATTTGTGCATACTTGGTTTGAGGGAAGAGATAAAGCAATCAGAAAGCACTGCTCTGCAAATAGCAATTGGAAATAAGATGGTGGGTTTTCTCCCCTTGTTGTCTCTCAGAGCCCTTCACAAAAGAGCTCTGTCTAACTACCTCTGTTTTACAGGCACAGAGGTGGAAGCACAGAGAAGGGAAGCGGTTTAACAAAGGTCATTCAGTGGTAGAGTCTCAGCTCTTTCCCCATCTGCAGTCCAGTGTCCCGGATCCATTACCAAGGGTAGTTGGCAACGGGAACAGTGATGGCAGAGCTGTCGGCTGGAGCGCTCTGGTTCATCTGAACTAGCCAGTTGCTTGCCAACAGGGAACATTATAGAGTTTTTTAGAGCAGCTGTAGGTCAGTGTTGCAGGAAACACCCTCACCTTGCTGCCTTTTTCTCCAGGTCACTCAGTATACTTGCCAGGCTTCAAATCATTGTTAATTCACAGGTAATAGACTGGCTGATGGTGGGGAAGCTATTGTGCCTGGCTGTTTAGCAGGTATCACCCAGCTTTCTCCTCCTGGCTGCTTTTGCTTCCTCTGTTAACCCTCAAAGCCCTCAGGTAACATAGCAGCAGCCTGCTGATACTGGCCACTCTTATACATGGGCTGCCAAGTCCAGTGGCATCCTGTTGCAGTGGGCTTCTGAAGTCCTGGAGGTTCCCAGCTGCCTGCAGTACTGTGTCTGCTGAGCCTGGCATCACCTGAGATTATGTGAATCTATTCAGCCTCGAGACACATTCAGGGAGCAAGAGTACATTGCACAGCCTGGACAGAACTCCTGTGGGAACAAAATGCTTTGGCTCTTCAAAGAGTAGGATAATAAAAATGTAGTTAGAGCAAAGGAAAAATGCTGCTTCTGCATGGCCCAAGCAAGGCCCTCGGTATTTCACAGTAAGTCCTGTAGAAAGAAGCCTAAGAGCAGAGAGAAAACTGTAGAGGAAGTTAAAAAAGAAAGCGACAGAGGAAGATACTGTTGATGTAACGGCTGCATTCTGTTTGTAGAGGTTGGCCTTGCAGTCTATATTATGCCGTTACATTTTATTTATCATTCATCACAGACATAGTGATAGTCATACCTAGCTGCATCCTGGGCTGCAGGCAGGCAAAGGAAGGCAAAAAGCAGACATTAAAGCAGGTGTAAGCACATCACAATCCTAAACCCACATAGCTGGACATCAGCCCTCCTGTAGCTTGTGCTCAGGGCGTTCACACAGTGTCCAGACCCCTGAGTTATACCAATTTGTTGCATTCGTCCCGTTTTTCAAAATAAAAAAAAATGTTAGGAAGACAAAGCAAAAAGCTCTCAGATTGCCGATTACCTGCTGCTGCTCCAGAATTACAAACAACTGAGGATGTTCACATGAGGTGACATCTGCCTTGGGAGTCACCTAAGATTTCCACTTGGAGCTAGCCATTGTCTTGAGGGAGCGGGGGTCAGAAGGTTCCTCTGTGCCCAGCTAACCACATTTTTTGCTGTGAGCTTAGGTCCACCCTCCAGGATTGTCTGTGATGTTGGCTGACAGCCCATCTTGTCTGGAGATCACTGCTAGGCTCTGCAGGCAGAGAGGCTCAGCCATGGGGTGGGATTTGACCTTTGCTTTCAGGCAGTGTGGATGTGGCTGGCTTGGGCCACTCAGCTCTAGGAGCTAGAGCTGGAACTCAAGCGCAAAGACCAAAGGCAGAATGGACATAGCCTCTGAGGCCAAGGGATTTCTCTCTCTCTTTCCTGCCTCTTTCAGGTGTCTCTAGGCCCTCCGTAACTGTGGTGGCCCTTTCTGGTATGAATGGTAGCACCTTGTGGTCCATCCAGCTTCCAGAGGAGACTCGGAGTGTGCAGTGCAAAGGGCTGTCACTGGGGGCACCTGCGGAGCCCGTCTGCCTTGTTACAGGAACATCGAAATTCCTCAGCCTTCTCAGTGCCTCCACAGGTAGGGTCAACTACCAGCATATTAGAAATATGCTACTGCTTTTTTGTTTTCTTTAAAGGGCTGATAAGCACGAATGATTCAGTGCCGTCACTTTCTGGTGGCTGTTAGCTAGGGACACACAGCAGGGAGTCAAAACACTTATGGGTTTCTAGTTACACAGGGTTAGAAAATCCAAACCATAGCTGCTCTGTGGCAGGATCTTCATCCTACCATCTCAGAACATTTCAAAGTGTTAATCTTATCCTGTAGCATCCCTGTGGCATAAAGGATATGTAAGGTCTATTCTCATCAACACTGAGCTGTTAGTACAGCTCAGCACTTACCTAACAGCACTGAAAAGGTGAACACCATTCTTGGAGAAGTTGTATAAGGGCACGTGCTACAGCCAGGGAACCTTCCAGAGAAATTAGGCCCATAGAATTGATGAGATGTGAATGAATATTGCATTTTTAATCACTTGATCATGTGCAATTCTCCGATTGCTCTTTGTTCTACCACATTAATTCACTGGCAAAAATGTTCATAGATATGTATAGGGATGTTTTTGGAATCAGAACAGAGAATGGAGAGATGCAAGAAACCTTGTGTTTAAGTGACAGATCCAGTCAATGAGCAACAGCACTTACCTTTCCAATGCTTTTAGGGACCAGATTACTTGCACAGTGTTTGTATGGTCAGAACCATAGGCTGTCTCCTCTACCAGCAGTAGTAGTGTTACTAATGTGCGTGTTTGCAGGTCCATCCTTTGGTTTCCTTTGTCATGCAGGGGCAAACCCTTTCTGCTGCAGGAGTATTCTGCTGCAGGAGCAGCAGAAAGCATTTTTAAACTCTGATTGAAAAAGCGGAAGTGTTGGCAAAAGAGTCATGGAAATGTAAAAGCACTGAATTACATTTTGCCTTTTTTTAAGTGTTTATTTGCCAATTTGCAGATCTGATTTTACTGAGTTTCCAGCTGGATCCTATTTGACATCACATCTGCTAACATGCTTTCACCCTGAGGTGGAGTGAGCATGCCATGCTGGAGTGGCTATTTGCTGCTGGGAATTTAACTGAGACACAGATATGCACTTTGAATATCAGAACTGCCTGTCTGTTTCCTTTCCTGGCATCTACCTACAGGCTTTACTGCTGGCTGAGGAAAACAACTGCTGTCCTGCAGAGCAGCACTCTCATTTAGGTTTTGCCTTCCAAGAGTGAACTTCAAATATTCTCTGCTATTTCAGGAATTGTTTTGGGCTCGGGTCTTTCTAGAGAGATGCTAAGAAGGAAGCACAGCAGGACTTGAGGCATGACTCAGAGACAGTCTGAAGAAATGCAGGGGGAAGAATTTCACTTCCTGCTGCAGCTTGCCCCTGTTCGTAGGCTTGTCTTTTCTCTTCTGAGAGAATGGGGGAAACAACCTCTCTTGCTCCCTCCTTGAAGAGGTTTTGTGGGATGCCTGCTGGCGATGCCTGCTGGTTCCCCAAGTGCTGCAGGTGTCTCTCATCCTGTTCTTCCCATAGGCAAGACCATGTGGACGCTGAACTCTATCCACCTTTCAAGTGGGATTCTGGCTGCACCAGCTGCAACTCTTCCTGATGTAGATGGAGATGGAATTAGAGATATTGTTGTTCTGGCCCTCAAAGAGACACAGGTACAGCATATCTGTGCTCAAGGTTTGAAAGGAGTTTGACTATCTAGAGGGAGAACAGGGACCGTGATATGGAAAGGCTGCAAGAGGCCCTAATTTTCATTCACTTAGATTTCCCTGAAAAGCACCCTCTCTCCTTCGCTAGGTCAGAGCAGTGAGACCAAGCAATAGTGACACTACCTGCATTTCTTATCAGCTAGGAATGAACGGAAGGGTCATTATTTACGTCTGGCTGAGACTTGAGAATTACCTGTCCCTGTTCAGTGGAGGCTTGGTTTGAAGTGAGAGTTTAGCAGCAGTGTAGGGAGCCATGTTGAGCCAGTTCTCCAGAAAAAGGAGCATTCAGCTTATTCAGAAGAAAGAAATACTTTTATGATTAATTCAGATGCAGATTTCCTCTATGCTCATCCCTCCCCACAATTTGAACGTTAATATTGTTAGAGGAGTTCAAGGTTTTGAAGTCCCTTCTATCTTTGATGCATTTGCAGTCAAGATAAAAGCATGAATGTAAGTCCTCCAGGAAGCCAGACTGAGCAAAGAAAAGAGACCACTAGCTAGACCTTGCTGTGGGGGGAAAGAGCAATGGAGCTTCATGCTGTGGGGAGTGGGGAAGATTCTGAGAGCACAAGTGCTTGTGTGCTTGTGCAATGCTTTCACCCCTGCTGAAAATCTTTACATCTCTCTCTGCAGCCTGATGTCTTTTTCATCTTGGTGTCAGGAAAGACTGGGACTGCTTTGGGTGGGCCTGTGAAGTACAGAACCAATGGAGAAGGGAAAGTGATTGGCCCCCAAGTCCACATCACCAGCCGGGGGGCCATCTACATCCTGTTTGGTTTTGGTAAGATGCACCCTGCCTCTCCAGCACTTCACCTTACTGAGCAAACATTCATTTTACCTAAAATGGCCCAGAGCATCCCTGGGATATTTCTACCATGCCTTCTGCTATAAAAGCTAGGAGTGGAAGGCATGGGAATGAGTCTTACTGCCGTGGTGTGGAAAAGTGCAGGAGCACCAATACCTGCTACCCTGGAAAACCTTGGAGTTTCCCAAAGTCACATCATGCAGGACGTCCATGCAGGACGTTAGAATCATAGAATGGTTTGGGTTGGAAGGGACCTTAAAGACCATCCAGTTCCAACCCCCCTGCCATGGGCAGGGACACCTTCCACTAGACCAGGTTGCTCAAAGCCTCATCCAGCCTGGCCTTGAAGACATCCAGGGATGGGGCATCCACAGCTTCTCTGGGCAACCTGTTCCAGTGCCTCATCACCCTCTCTGGGAAGAACTTCTCCCTGATATCCAATCTAAACCTCCCCACTTTCAGTTTAAACCCATTACCCCTTGTCCTGTCACTACAGGCCCTTGTAAAAATTCCCCCCTGCCCCAGTTTCCTTGTGGGCCTCTTCAGGTACTGGAAAGCTGCAGTAAGGTCACCCCAGAGCCTTCTCTTCTCCAGGCTGAACAAGCCCAGTTCTCTCAGTGTTCCAGCTCTGGATATTTCTTTGCCTTCTACCACAGCTGCAGTAGTCCCAAGGACTCTGTGCTACTAGGAAGTTAACTTTCGAGGGCAGGACTCTTCATCTTTACTCTTCCTGGCAGGTAATGTGCAGGCCGTTGCCCTGAGGGATATCTTTACCCAAGCTAGGAACCGGGACAGCTTTCCTGCAATGCTGAAGCAGGAGGAGCCGGAGTGGGAAAAGCGCAGATCTGTCAACCTGTCAGAGCTCATTGACATTTACAGGTAGGAGATGGACTTGTCGTCTTGCTTCTGCTGGGAGAGGAAGGGGAGGGTAGGCACTTCTTAGTGCTCCAAGAGATGGTCCCTTCTGCCTCAATACTGTCCTTTTCAGTACTCTGGAGAACCCTGAGTTTCCTCCCTGTCCTGGGGTTGTCCTAGTAAAAGAAGTGCAGAATATGATAAAAGGGAGTTCTTTCCTTCTCCTGCTTCTTGTTCTGTTCTTCCACCTCCTATGCACGTCTGGAATAATAAGAAAAGAGGTGGTCCCAGCTAATGGAGTGCCTTTGGGAAGCTCAGTCTGTGTACAGCATTGTAGGACTGGATTTCTCAGCTCCTTCTTTACTGCCAAATTGTGGTCAAGGTCAGTATGTATAGGAATAAAGGGAGGGAACAAATGTGAAACCTTAAACTCCATGCTTTTTGTAGCAATTCAAGATGTTCAGAAGACCCCACGTCTGAATTTAGCCCACTTAACTGAGGAACCCCCAATGGAAGCTAAGCTCCATCACTGGGGAGAAGATGGGCTTCTCCAAGAGTAGTGCAAATCTTAGGTAGGATGAATTGCCATGCGAACAGGCAGCTAGTGCTGAGATGTGCGGATACAAGCCTTGGAATCTCCTCTCTGCTTCCATTTGTCCCAGTGGGGGTGTTGACTTCCTGCAGACAATGAAGACACCTGACACAAACTGCAGCAACCTGCTCATCACGACCAAAGAGGGCTTGATCCTACTGCAGGGACAGGACCTGGAGCCCCGCTGGACCCTGGAACTGCAGAACATCAGCAGGTTACGTACTGGGAACATTTCTTGTGTCCTGTTTTTTCCTGTACCATTTCCTGCCTTTTGCTTGTAAGCACATGTGCTTCTTGGGAAGCAATTGAGAAGAATTCTCCAAGTCTGCAGGGAAATCTAAGAACTGGAGGTGTGCAGATGCATCACTGAGCGAGTGAGTCGGGCAGGGGGAGCAAGGAACAGAAGGTTGGAAACCTGAGCTGTGTGCTTGTGAGTGATCACAAATAAGGGGCTTGATTCAGGTACCCAGCACTGATGGCATGGGAATGTTGTGGCATTGGAATTCAGGGGATTACAGGTGTGTGATTCGGGCCATCTGCTGTCCATGGCTGCCACTTGCCAGCTCAGTGGAGAGGAGCAGTTGCATTAGTGAAGTGTTTAGAGAAGGTGTCTGAGTATGACCCACAGATCTTAATGTTCCTTGAAAGTTGAAAATGAGTACTCTGATGACAGTCACCACACCGTCTATGCTAAATGTGAACCTTAAAATAATACTGCTCATCCTCTGATTTCACACATGGAAATGAAGTAATTTGCCAGATCTCGTGGGTTGATAATAACCAGCAATTTCAGCTTACCCGGTATTAAATATTTGCAAAGGGTGGTTGGGCACAGTTGAGGGAAATTATGTGGGAAACAAATTGCTTGCTCTGCTATCTAAAGGAAAGAAAGCAGCTCTCAGCTCAGTGCTACCTGACTGTCAAGAACATCTATAGGAAGAAGGCACTGGAACTTGATTAAGCAGCTAGGTTTGCTATTCAGATAATGCTCACATTCTTGAGGACTGATGGGTGACATAAGCAATGGCTTTAGGAATGGCTTATGGCTAGTTGATTGTGCTATGGGGAAAGACGAGGGGCAAAAAGTGTTTTGGGCCCAGAGTCTGCAGACTTCTGGATGTGTCTGGTGTCTAGTTTAAAGGGAAGTGTGTACTGACTAAGCAAAGCCAGTTCATAGGTGCTGTAACATGAGTTATACACAAGAAATTTCTAAATGGACCCACTAATGAATTGGAAAATTTCTATGGGTTCAAGTCAAGAAGGGTCGACAAGTGCTTTACCTGCTCCATTCGCAGAATCACAGTGCGGTTGAGGTTGGAAGGCACCTCTGGAGATTGCCTTGCCCAACCTACCTGCTCTAGCAGGCTCAGCTAGAGCAAGTTGCTCTGGTCTGTGTGCTCTCAGGTTTTAAATATCTCCAAGGATGGAGACTCCACAACCTCTCTGAAAACTAATATTCCAGGTTGCCGCACTCCAGCCCTAGTTTTTCTGGTTCCGTGACCTCCCAAGGGACAGAGTACAGCATGTATACAGGAGCTGCCAGATACGCACTGAAAAATAAGAAAAGCAATTCTTGTTCAGCACCACTGTGCTTAAGTCCTGGACTGCCAGTTTCCTCAGACTTAAGAGAGATGAAACCTGGTAGACTGAATATTGTGGACAAGCATTTATTTAAGAGGTTTGTGAGGTTTTTAGGACTTCTCTAAGTTCTGCTTAAACAGCACAGGCTGGAGGACAGATTCAGCCCAGGAGTGTTACCACAAACAGACCAAATCCCAGTTCCTCATTAGAAAAGCTTACAGAGCCAGCTGAGAACTTCCCTTTTCCAGGGTAAACCTGCCCCAAGCACACCACTCCAGCCAAGCAAACAGAGTCCAGCCCTTTGGGAACAGCCTCCGAGAAAAACAGCCTGACTGCTGCAGATGTGCTGCATTTCCAGATAGCTTTTGACAAGATCCCTGGAAAACCATAAAGGAGAATCAGTAGTCATAAAACAAGGGTGAAGTTCAGAGACCATGAAATTGAGTAAGCAGTCGAAAGTTGTGTTGTAAATGGATGTTTCAGATGAGAGAGGATTAATAGCAGGTTGCTGTGGGGATTAGTGTTGGGCAGGAATAATTACTAGCCTTCTGGTTCATTTGAGAAAGTGCCCAGGGGATTTTTCAGTTGATTGGTAGCATCTGAAATACACGTCTGCGTTCAGTTTGTGGGATCTGCCGCCAACTGTAACCCGTAAGTAACATGAGAAGAGGCACCTTAGGAGGTGTTTTAAGTTTGTGCCCATAGGATAGAACTACTTCCTTTTGCTACTGGAGGGCTTTCGAGCTATAGGAGTGTCCCATGACGCTGCCTTGGAAGCATTAGTTCTGGTTGCCAGAGGTGTCTCAAGCGAGTGACGTTTTTGGGTGTAGTAGGTATGAATAGTCAAGACACAGCTGTACTGTGGGATTTGCTGTTCAGCAGCCATTCTGGTATGCACATTTTAAAGGGGAAGCTGGAGAAAATTGGAGAAAAGAGCTGGAAAAAAATGCTTTAGCATGGAAGATTTAAGTCAGTGGGTTTATATGATCAAAGAGAAGCCTGAGAAGTGAGTTCATAAGTGAGTGTGAGTAATAGGAGCTAATAGGCATTTTAATCTAGCCAGAGCAAGAAAAAGTGCCTTGGAGCAGCAGCCATTCCTGTTCAAGAAAATGAGAATGCAGACATGTTTCTTTGGGTGAGATTAATCATTAGAACTGACTGTCAGGAGAAGTGATGAATTCATCTCATCTTTGCATTTCTGTAGCAAGCCTCACGGCTGGTAGATCCAGACAAAGCCTACTGATAGTTGGTTAATTGGGTGAAATACATCAATCTGTCATAAACAAGAGGAGGGAGGACATACTCTGATGGTTCTGCCTTGCCATAAAATCTCCGATTCTGTGAGTTTTGAAGAATTGTTTGTGCTTATTTAGAACCTTGTGTCTAGCTGTGGTGAGTTTAAGGAAGACAGAGATAAGACTCGGAAAGCCAAAGGCAAGCAAGGTGGTTAGAAAAGAGTTACACTGAGAGATATTCATGTAATAGTGTTATGTCACCCAGAAGGGAGGGGATGAGAGGGGACTTTATTTAAACAGCTGAAGGTTATAAAAATGCTTGTAAAACCGCCAGCACTAAGAAAACAAAGAATCATGGGCTGACATTAATGGTGAGTATATTAAGAGCTGTTTCACACAGCTAAGGCAGTAGGAGGTCAAGTCTGCTGATGCGTTTTGAAAGGGCTGGGTAATTTTTTATGACCATAGCAAAATTGTACAGGTTCTCATGCTAAGGAAAGAATAATAGAGTCATGTCACAGGGTGATAAACAGATGTCTACGCAGCCCAGCAAGGGATGCCCCCTACACAGATGACACTGAAGAGTGGCTAACAAGCACCATGGGCTGCTTGATCATTGATCACTTTTCTGATCCACCAACAAATGGTTCCTGCCAGTCAGAATAGTTCTGAGTGGATGAAAGATCTTGTTTAGCATGGCAATCCCTGTGTGTTCAAGAGGCAGAATGGAGGATGGAAGCAACTGTGCTTTCATCTGAAATCCCTGTTTTTCTGCCATGGGGCTGAGTGTTTCTTTTTCCACATTTGCAGCGAGCCTGTACCAGGTTACTTTGGTGCTGACCAAACTCTGGACTTCATGCTGCAAGCACAGACAGGAGATGGGAAGAAAAAGGTAAGGCAAGGAGGGCAGCGGCGACATAGGAGTGAGGGAGGTGGGGTAGAAGGGGCGAATCATTGCCTGCTCCTCACTCTTCCCATTTCTGTGGTTGACACCACTGTGTGGCCACAGGCATGAGAGGGAGGAGCACGGGCCATGCCACTGCAAGGGGGCGCTCTGTGCACCCACATCGGGCACCCATTAACGCTAGATCTCTCCCCTGCCTCGAGGTGGTGGTGATCGATGGCAAATCCGGCCTCCCTGTTTGGAACCAGGAACTCCCGTGGCAGAAGCAACAGCTCGATGCACTGTCAATCATGACTTTGGACAAGAAGTCTGTTTTTCTCTTCTGGGCTGATGAAGCACAGCCCGTGTTACAGAGTTTGGTGAGCAAGCATACTTTCTTCACTTGGAGGTTTCTCTGTGAGGCACATGCAGTTTCTGTCTTTTATTCCTAATGTAATTGAACTTTAAACCCGCCATGTAAGAAGGCTGTCGGGGACATCTTCCTCTTGCGATGACACTCTGACTTCTCTGAGCCTGAACACAGGAGTTTTTGTGTGCAAATTCTTTACCAGAAAGCTGTATTGACAGAAAGTTTGTGTCCACAACACCAAAATTTCTGCATGAATTTAAGTGTTTTCTGCACCACTGCACAAAAAAAACAACCACCTGTGTAGGTTTTCACCTCTGTAAAACCACAGTTTTGGACTCTCTGATCCCTGTAAAGACAGCACAGTGTCAGAAAACTCTTTGGCAGAGCTAGTCTCCTCTTTGGTAGCAAGCTGTAACGTTTTTGTTTGTCCTTCATTCCAACAGCAACCTGGTCCCAGGCCTGAGCGCCCAGGGCTGCACCACCTCTATCTCCTCCATCCCGTTTTTCCTACTGTCCTTTTGGACCTCACCAATGCAACAGACAAAGTCATTGCTTCAGCGGGTGAGTACAGATGGAGGAGGAACTATCTAGGCTAAAAGAAATACGGAGGGAGAGGTAGCTGGGAAAAAGAATGGGGTGTAGTGGTGCCTTTAAAGGTAACACCTGAGGTCCACCACACATAGGGCAGCAATGGGAAATTAGATTTATCTTCCTCCTGAAGGAAAGTCCTGCCCAACCCCTACTTTGGAAATACAAGGCCCTCCAAGTTTCTTGCACATGTGTAAGCAAGGAAAGGTCCAAGTTTGTTTTCATGCATGTTTTAACCCCCCATGTTTCCATGGAGCTGTTTATGATTTAAGGCAGTGTGTGAGGAATCACTGTGAAACTTCTCTCACCTCTGCCTTTGTTGGCCACCTTCTCCTGCTTTCTGGGATAGCAGCTGTGCTGCTTCTTCCTTTTTGCTTTTTTGAAAATGTGTTTTCAGGGAAAAGTAGATCTGGATTTAACTTCTGTACAAGATTGTACAGTCCGTGTTGGATTTCCTTGCTCTTTCTAAAGCAGTTCAACCAACAGCCAGCCTGCTGAGCATGGCAGGATGTGAGATAAAAGATCAGCTCATCCAGCGCTGAGTCCAGTGGGCCAGGAAGCACAGAAAAGCTGCTTCGTAGTGATGCATCTAATGGGATTTGTATCATAAACACCGCTCAGTCAAGAATAAATAGAGTATTGTTTTTGGAGGGGTTTATTAGAAATTGGTTTTTCTGAGGTCTGTGTAGATCATTCTGCAGTGACTGGAGTGAACTGACTTGCCCGTGCTTTACCCATTTCCCCTTCTATAGAGGTAGAACAGTACCTACTAACAGATGTGGGAAGGAAAGCTCTCTGAAAGTGAACTGCATTTTTTAAAAGTGTGCCTCTCCGGTGTCAAGCTCAGAAACATCAACTGGAACCAAACCTTCCCATTTCTGATCTACATGTCAGTTTATTTCCATGGAAAGATTTTTAACTTAAAATCATTTTCCCTGATTACAGTACATGCAGTGGTAAAGTCAGACTGAATATACCCTCAGTCCAGTAGATGTTTTGACTGAGTAAAGACCGTAAGATTTCTTTTGGAAGACACACAGTCATTTACTTCTCACTCATATTTTCTCTCCCTTTTCTGATGGACCAGTTGGAATTAATGATCTCCAGAAGGATGCATTTCACATCACTGTGACAACAACTGCAACCTCTGAAAAACAGCCAGGGTTTCTCTCAGTCAGCAAGCTGGGCCTGAAGTGGGCCATGATGAGTCAAGGTCGAATGGTGTGGCTAAAGGACACCACCACTCCCAAAATCAGCCGTGGAGAAGTGCGGAGATTTCTTGCCCGGCTGAAATTTGTTGACTTTCCTCAGAAGGTGAGATTGGGCAGGAATCCCTAATGAAATCCAAGCCTTTGAAAACATCTGATCTCCTCCCTGCAGACACAGTTAGGTGCTCTTTGGGATGCAGACACTGGTGCAGAGACCGTTTGCAAGGTGGCTGCCTGCCCCTTTGGGCCAAAACTAGACAGGTTGTGAGGCCCAGCTGTACTCTGGCAGTTGGGCAAGGAGGGGAGGGTGATCAGAGGGAACAGGGGTGGGACAGACATCACTTGTTTTGACCTGGGCAAACAAGGATCCTCCATAGTGATGCCCCGGCTCAGTTGCTGACCTGTGTATTACCACTTTTCTCCACCAGACTGGATGATAGTAGGTTTTGACTTTAGTTTTTGTTTGCCTTTCCTTCTCCAGCTCTAGCTTGGTGGTTCCTCAGATTTTGGTTGGACCTGTGGCCTGTATGGGGAATACAGAAAGCTGTTCTGTGAATCTTCAGGAAAACTGCTGTGTAGAGGGAATGGGAGCTAAAAGCACTTCCCCTTTCTTCAGTTCTTTGGGGAATGCTGCTGGAGGCAGGTTAGTCCTAGGCAGACGTGTCCTGTACCAGAGGAACCTTGTTGAGCGTCTCCCCCTCCATATGCCATTCTTGCATGCTTCCTTCCAGGTAACACAGAAATGTGAATTTAGAATTTATATACATAGATATATGTATAAAAAACCAGGTTATATACATATATGTATCAGTTTATACAATATATGTATATTTTTTGTATGTTTAATTTATGAATGAGATACAGGACACTCCTTTTTATGTCCAAACAGTATTCCTAGGCAGTCAAACAAGCTCTAGGCCTAGAATGGGCCATGATGACTCAAGGCATATGGTGTGGCTGAAGGATACTGCCTGCTTTAGTCTCTATTTTTGAAGAGAAGCCTCTGTCTGGTCCCTGCAGGGCTGGTCTTGTCTACAACCTTTCCTGTGCTCTCAGGAGCACATTCTGTCCCCAAACTCACAAACTAGCTCTCTGGCTGAATTACCTCATCTAGAGAAAGATGGTCCCCACAGCATTTGCCAGCCCTTGCACTTGTCTGTGTCTTTCCCCAGTCGCCATTTCAGGATCGGTTCGTGCGGGTGATGTAGAAGCAGAAGCCTCACATCTTATTTCTATCCATCCCTAAGCTGTTTGTGAACCCAGAGTGACGCTGTGTAACATCACGCTGCAGTCCAGTGAGCAGAGTCCCCCTTTGAAAATTCATCACAGTCCTTCTGGGATAGATTCCCAACAGATCCCCACTGGCACTGTAAAAATCACACTAGATCCAGTCACAGCAAAGCTGATTCTCACACCACTGCTTCAGGATTTGGAGGCTCAGAAAGAGAGAACTGGAAGGCTTCTCTGTGCATTTTACTCCTATTCTGGGCTCAACTTTACCATTCCCTTGCCTGCCCCGCCCTGTGTGCAGTTCCAGGAGGAACAGACTACCCCCAGGGCACATTTGCTCACAGTTTGGTGCTTTCAGCTGTGCCTCTGAGTGTGCCATCAGTCTCCTGCGTTGTATTTGCAGAGCATCTACATGAATTTTCTTGTAATAGGAATGACCACATAAAAAGCAACCGCTTTGGTGCCCCAGCAGCTCCTCACAGGGCAGGGCAGCAACATAGGAACTGTTTTCCCAGTATGCCTTCCTAGGTCTGACCTGTGACATTAGGCAGAGCCCGGCTGAGATGAGGGTTGCAAAGGGCCCTTCTGTCCTGCTGGCACACGCCCTTCCAGCCTCCCTGCACTTCCCTGTGAGTGGTGAGGTGATGGCAGGACATGGACCCTCCCTCCAGATGGGCACATCTCCCACGAGTTTGCTCTCCTGGGCTCTTGACACCTCTCCTTGCTCTATCACCCTATCTCTTCGTTGTTCCTGCATCTCCATATAAAGCTTCGAGGATAGCCCTTCAGGATTAGCTGCAAGCCCCGAGGCTGGTCCTTGGGTGCTGCTCTCTTCATGTCAGAACCTGTGAACAGTTTGTATATGTTTAATGGTATTTTTGTGTAAATAGCTTTGTATATATTAGCACAACTGTAGCAGTGGCTCTAGGCCTGGCATTTTCCTCCAGACAGGGGTTTATAACATAGTCAATTAATACAGCTAAATACTAGGGACTGAAAGCATGAGGACTAGTAACATAGGATTGAACAGAAGTGCCCCTTCCCTCCTGTCTAGCCACCACCTTGCTGGGAAAGGTGGAGCAGCTGTAACCTAACATAGTTGCTATCCTCAGGTTCTTCCTGAGAGAACTGACACTCCAGTGCAGTGACGTTAGCTCCTCCATAATGTGAATTCACCCTGCCCGCACACACGCATCCCCACTGTGAATAAAGAGTCTGTCTGTATATTGTTGGGAAAATGTATTTGAACTGTGAACTGCAACAGAGCAAATAAATACTGTGTACAGCATCAGTGTGTCATGTCAATCACCGTTTCACTTCTGGGAGTTGATGAGTTGGCTTGATTTGGGGATTGTTTGCAATATTTTTACCATGGGGGAAAGGGGACGGATGAAGAGAAACAAAGGAAAAAACCAAAAGCCCAGCCAAGGGTTCTTAAAGGTTGCGGAGAAGCACAGTAGAAAGAGGCAAACAGGAAAGTACCTCAGGATGGAAGATTTTGGGGGAAAAGGTAAGAAGGGAGCATGTGGGAGTCATTACAGATAGGGGGGAGGAGAAAGCAACCACCTATTACTACTGCAACCGCACTTTAAATCTGGGAGCAGGGAGAAGAGGAGGTTAGGCCTGGAAATGAGGAATAAATAGGGCATCCAGAGAGGATGACAGCCAATCGATATGAGTACCAATGCCCTTCAGTGTAGCACTGAACCAGGGGGTTGCTGGAAGGTCCATGTGACAGCACCCAAAGAGGCCCAGCACTGCAGTTTACCAGCTGGATGGTGCTGACTGTCTATTCCAGGGTGCAAGACTGCTGGGATTAGGACATCTGCCTCAACTCTGAAAGCACTTGGAGGCAGCTGACACCAACGTGTCCCTCCAGTTTCACCCCTCCCAGCTGAGGACAGCTGTCAAACTGATCAGGGAGGACCCACCCTGCTACTGTTGGCATTGCTGTCGCCCTGGCTTAGGGCCCACCTCGCTCCCTGAACTGTAAAGGAAGGAAGAGCTCCCCAAAACTTGCCAACAGTGGTGCTAGTGTTTGGTTCAGAGCTCCTGTGCCTCCCAAACCCCACTGCTCTGCCCCTGCACTCTCATCCCTAACAGCGATCCTCCCCGACTGCCTGTCCCAAGACCTCATCCAGCTCCAGCTCTGGTTCCCGCTGTAGCACTTTCTGCTGCAGCTCAGAGTAGAAGTCGACTCCCTCAGAGACGGAATGGAGGGGCTTGTCTTGGGGCTCGTAGTAGCTGCTTATCTGCTGCTGTATGAAGCACTGGTGGTGCTGAGGCTGATCCTTGAAGCACCCGTCGTAGCCCTTGATGTGGTTCCTTTTGAATTCCAGCACGGTCTTGGTGTAGGTGTTGAGAGTGGTGACAGCAGAGGCCATGCAGCAGGTGAAGGAGACCCAGGCCATGCTACAGGAGACACAAGGACATGCTGTGAGAAGCCCGCTAGGGTAAGGAATTGAGCTGCGTGCACTGGGATGCACTCCGCTTTGGCAGGCAGAAGCTGCTGGGCATGGACATGCACTAGGAAGACTAAGGCTCACAATATTACAGTTCTCAGGGGGTATCCCACTACAGGATCCTTCTGAGATGGGTGGGTCAGCCTTGTCACAGGGAGGGAAGGACACAGGGTAAACAAAAAGAGCATCAGGAAAGTCTCTAACTGGTCAGCGTAGGGCAGCCCCGCTTGGAAGAGAGTTCTGGCCTACAAAGGTGCTGGGAGAGGACTTTTTACAAGAGCCTGTAGTGACAGGACAAGGGGTAACGGGTACAAATTGAAAGTGGGGAGGTTTAGATTAGATATCAGGAAGAAATTCTTCCCAGAGAGGGTGGTGAGGCACTGGAACAGGTTGCCCAGAGAAGCTGTGGATGCCCCATCCCTGGATGTCTTCAAGGCCAAGCTGGATGAGGCTTTGAGCAACCTGGTCTAGTGGAAGGTGTCCCTGCCCATGGCAGGGGGGTTGGAACTAGATGGTCTTTAAGGTGCCTTCCAACCCAAACCGTTCTGTGATCCTGCACTGTAGGGCCGCTCAGTGTCTTCCTGGTCATGAGGCACATCTGCTCGAGCATAACCAGATGGCCACGCTGACATTTGATGTCCACATGGCACTGGGGTGTTTAAGTCCCGAGAATGGAAGTGGCCATTGTCAGTAGAGCATGGCAAATTGACCCTGCACTTTCCACGGGCGTTTGCAAGGCTCATCCGACTCTTTTTCAAGTCAGTTACGGCACAGCAGCTGCGGCCGACTTTAGCCTTCAGAGAAATGAACCCTGAGCCACCTGCTTTTTGCACCTGCTCTTCCTGGCTACAACATCCACATCTTTAAGCGTATGTCTAGGCTTGGTGCTGCAGGAGTAGGCCCTTGGGACACTGGTTAGTGAAGATGCCAAACCAGCAGGCATCTGCAGGAAAAACAAGGCGTGTTTGAGAGCATCATCACAGGTGTGACACTGACCTCTGCACACGGGGAAGAGCCGAGACCAAACAGGGCAAACCAGCACGGAGGCAAACCCGATTAGTCAGCAGGGACGGAGACACTTGTTTAGGTGTGACCCCACTGTTTTGCCACTCCTTGGTGGCTACTCATCGAAGTAACTCCACAAGTATTTGTTAAAGCAGGGGATGAGGGAGAGACAGGAGATGAGCAGTAGGAGAACCATGGTATGCCTGTCTTGGAAACAGGTCAAGAGGGAGGAGGTGGGTTTTGGCAGGGTGTAGCATGGCTGAAGCCCAAAAGGCTGGGGACGTGAAGATGGCTTCAGAACTCACGTACTAGAATGCCCAGCCGTAGTCCCAGGAGTGCGGTCTCCAGTCCTCTGGTCCCAGATTAACCGTTGCCTGGAAGACTTGAGTGTACATCATGTGTGCTACCATCCCAAGGAGACCTGGACAGAGAAGACAACCAAAGAAGGAAGTTCCAGCAGGAGCCAGAGCTGCGTACTTCAGCTCTGTGTGGGAGAGGAGGCTCTCCTGCTGCTGTGACTTCAAGCCTGCAGTGATATCCTTACCTGACAGCACTGAGGAGACAGCAGCAAAGGCGTTGAGCTTCAACCCACAGACAGGATTGCCAGTATGCAGCATTTCCACCATCAGGAGGATGAAGCTGATGAGCAGCAAGCTGATGTACAGCATCTCTGACCCCAGAGACAGCCACAGGATTCCTGCCAGGAACCAGAGACTCCTCACATCGATCCAGGATGGCTTGTACAAGGGAGAGTACTCCCTCTTCCCAACCCAATCCTGAACGGATGTCCTTTGGAAAGAAGGGAAAGAAAGAAAACAACAAACACCCAAAAGCAATTCCCCCAGCGTGTGCGCAAGGGCTCAAAGTGTGCTGAAGGGGACAGAGAACTTGTCACAGAAGATGGCTTGGGTAGTCTAGCATGGCAAAAGCTGAGAGGAACTGAAACAGCTGTCTGTAAACATGCCAGCATTATTCCTAAGCAGCAAGGAGGATGCCATGGAGAATAAGACAGGGAGAAAGCTGTTGAGTATTAGCACAAGACCTGGTGGTCATAGATTGGCCATGAACACACCTGAGCTGGACGTTAGAAGATTTTTACCTATTAGAGTAGTGACCTTCAGCATAGGTTTCTAATTGCAACAATGGAAGCAGATGCCTTTTAACCTGGGATTTAACTGATTAAGAATAGAACTGTATGGTGAGTCTGCAGCAGTGGCTGGGAATTCAGGAGGCCCCTTGCAGGCTTGTGTTTCTCACTGAAACCTCAATATGAAGTTACATTCCTGAGGGTGGATATCCAGCAAAAAGGAATAACATTCACCGTTCACCCTGCTGCTTGAACAAAGTGTGGGTACTTTCATGCTGGGATCATCAGTGGGACTGCAGTGATACCACAGTCCTCAGCTGTGCAGTCGGACTTGGAGGAGAATGAGAAAAGGCACTCTGTAATCCTGGGCTGTGGAAGAGCGCAGGGTTCAGTGAGGAAGAAATGCTAATCTGACAAATGAAGCAGCCCTGTGAACACTTCTGTTATTCTATTAATGCCCTAGAGGAGACATGGAGACATTCAGCTGGGAAAAAGGAGTGTGAAGAAAACTCTCATTAATGTGGCACTGAGTTGACTCGTCAATGTCATTAGTGCCATAGAGTCACCCAGCTCTTTAGCAGAATTGATGAGCTGCATTCCCTGCTTCTTGGAGCCGACTTGCTTGCTGCAGCACCAGCAGGGAGACTTTCATTAGAGGTCAGACTGCTGAAAGCGTCCTGGAGGGTGCAGGCACCACACATGCAGAGGTCTCGGCATCGCTTCCCCAGAGAGTCCAGGCTTACCACAAATGCTGTGTAGGCTGGACTTGTAACGTTGCCTGTGCATCGTGGAGCTGCTCTGCACACTCCCAGCTCAGCCAGCCCGCTCTGCATCCAGCAGTCACACCACCTTCTCCAGTGCTGGCCCAACCAGACACTGGCAGCTGCACTAAGGCCAAGGTCAACCTAAGATGATGCTGTGTGCAGGAAGGGGTGAAAGCAGGTGGTAGAGCTATTCAGACCATAGTGTCTCTGTGAGTGTCACGCTTAAGCTCACAGTGATCTTCCAATTAATTTGTAGGAGATCAATCTCTTACAGAACATGGCCTTTCTATCAACGTTGGGCTGCAATTAGACAAGGAGCAGTAGGAGGAGTGTGAGGGGGGACAGACAGAAAGATTGACAGACACGCAGTACGGTTGCATAAACCTCATTTCTTAGGAAGACAAGCAGTGAGGAAGATGCTGGAAGGAACAGAGCCAGTGGCCTGGGCAGGGAATGAAGTGCAAGAAGGTGAGAAAGCAGGAAAATTGCTACTCCCTACAAAGTGAGCATTTTGCAGTAAATGCAAGAGTTGTGCAGTAAACGCAGGTAAGTCATTCATTTATGACAAAGTGGAGGTCTGAATGACTTCAGAATGATCTTATAACACCAGCATTACCTGAATTGTGTAAATACTGTTTTCCAAAAGAATAAGCAGGGGAGGTTTTCCTGCCCTGCTATTGTGCCAAGAGTGACCCAGGTTAATCTGCACAGCAATGCCACCGCACAACACTCGCACTGGCCCCCTCACCTGGGAACGCACATCGCTTTATAAAGGCAGGTCAGCACGCTTTGCCAGTGTTTTTAAAACAGGGGAAACAAAGCAGAAAAAGATGAGTTCCCCCAAAGTACTCATCTCCCTGCTGGCTGTTGCAATTCCCCAGCATTTGTTCCAGCCCTTGCTCTCACGGCTTGAATGTTGACACAGGCTCTGCACCCCAGGCCTTTCCCTTCACATATGACCATCCTCTGAAATGACATGCCTCCAGCCTCCATCTCGGGGAATAGTTAGCAAGCCCACAGAAACTGAAAAGCTTTCAGTAAGTAAAATCTCCTTTGCGTATGCACACGTACATCCAGGTTATCCCCAGGATAATTTGAAATATGTGACAATGACAGGAGGGGTGAGGTCTCCAACTCAAATTAAGTTTTGTATTTGATAAGCCAAGGACTTCACCCCAAAAGTGTAACTTTAGGATGCTCTCATCACTTACCACTAAATAAGAGGCGATTCAGCTACCAGAGTCACATATTAGACCCCAAAACTGAAGCACTGAGTCAACATGTAGCGTATGTGGGAGGGACTG